CGCACCGGTTCAAAACCGGTGGGGAAAACTAAGATTCAGCACCGGTTAACCGGTGCAAAAAGTAAGTGTCGCGCGTTTTTTATTTTGATTTTAACTACAATAGGCACCGGTTAACCGGTGCCCATTATCCTTCAAAAAATAAAAACAAAAATTGAAATTTTTTCAGTTAAAATTCATCAGACAATTAACCCATAATTGTTTCCCTCAAAAAAAATAACCCAGAAATTGTTATATACATTAATAAATTGTTATTTCACATTAATCACACACACACACATATATATATATATATATATATATATATATATATATTTTTTTTTTTTTTTTTTTTTTTTATATATATATATATATATATATAAAACTAGAAAAAAACGCAACAATGAACAATGAACAACAAAATCTTTGAATCTTGAATCTTTCTTCTGTGTGGAGTCGCTGCAGTTGAATTTTTTTTTTTTTAAGGACGACAGATTAGAGAAGAGATGAGAGAGAAGAAAGAGATGAGAGAGAAGAAAGAGAGATCCCAGAAAAAACCCAAGAAAACCCAGAAACCCAAAAAAACCAGAAAAAAACCCAGAACTTAGAAACCCAGCACCCATAAAAAACCGAGAAAAAAAACCAGAAAAACCGAGAAAAAACTCAAAAACCTAGAGAAAACCAAGAACATAAAAACCGAAACGCAAAGCTAAAACCGAGAAACCCAGAAACGCAGAAAAAACCGAGAAACTGAAAAAACCCAGAACATAAAAACCGAAACGCAAAGCTTAAACCGAGAAACTCAGAAACATAAATACTCAAAAACCCAGAAAAAACCCAGAAACAGAGAAAAAATCCAGAAGCCGAAACGAAAAGCTAAAGGACCCAGAAACCCTAACCTCAAATTTCTGATTTTTTAATCGAAAATTCAATCAAATTGTTGTGGTTGACAGCGGCGGCGATGGTTGTTGTGGTTGACGGCGACGGCGATGGTTGTTGTGCTTGGTTTCGAAATTCGATTAAGGCCGGTGGTTGTTGAGAAGAGGAAGAAGAACGAGAGATCAGAGAAGATCAAAGAGATCAGAGAAGAACGAGAGAGTAGAAGGAAGAGAAGAACTAGAGATCGGAGAAGAGATGAGGGAGAAGAACGAAGAACAGAGATGAGAGAGAAGGAGAGCAAAAAAGAGGCGAATGAGAGAGAAGGAGAACAGAGTTAAGGGTTTATAAGAAGAGCTCGATTTTTTTTTTTATAAAACATTATTTCGCACTGGTTTGGTTTTAACCGGTGCAAAATCCCTTTCTCCCCCTTTTTTTTCCTCTTTTTTAATTCGCACCGGTTCACAAAAGATAATTTCGCACCGGTTTAATAGGAACCGGTGAGAAAAGTTTTTTTCTCAATCCCGCCCATTTCTTTTACCACCGGTTTTCAAGAACCGGTGCGAAAAGTGCGGTGCATAGTTCATTTTTCTACTAGTGTAGGAAAATTGTTCGTTCCGCCGCCATGAAAAATTTCCTAGAGTACAAAATGCGGTTACAAGACGAATTGAGTAAATTTAAATGTAGAGTGTCTCTGACTGCCGATTCTTGGGATAGTGGTTATAAATATCACTATTTATGTGTGACTTGCCATTGGGTAGATGATCAATGGTTGTTACAAAAACGAATAATCCATTTCAAAATTCTAGAATACCCCCACACTGGTATTAACATTGCTCACCATTTAATGGAAGCTATAAATGAATACAACCTTAGAGAAAAAATCATGTCTATGACATTTGATAATGCAACCTCAATGACATATACTGCTAATTATGTGAAACAAAATTTTACCGATGAAATATTAGATGGTGACGCACTTCATACTAAATGTGTTTCCCATGCTCTTAACTTATGTGTACAAGATGGAATTAGAGTAATTGGTCCATACTATAACAAAATTAGAGAAGCTATTATGTCTATTGATAGCTTAAACATGAGATATAAAGAATGGAAAAGTTTTCTAATACAACAAAAGATAAGAGCAATAAAAATCAAAACCGATTGTCCAACTAGGTGGAATTCCACCTATGACATGTTAACCAAGGCAATTGAATATAAGAATCCTTTAACAATTTTTTACAACAAGAAAATTTCCAAACAATGCTATATATGATGATGATTGGGATAAATGTGAAAGATATATGCAATTTTTACAATTATTATATAACATGACATTTTATTTTTCTTCTGTTTATAATCCTTGTGCTCAAAACTTTCTTTCAAATGCATTTTTATTCGCTTAGCTTTTCGCTGATCATCGCAACCAAAGTGATTATGATCAATATCTTCCAGCAATGGAAACAAAGTGGCGTAAATATTATACTGAAATTCCTTTAATTTATATTTTCGCTTCCATATTAGATCCTAGGCAAAAGTATGAAAATACATTTATGTTAGTTGACATTTATTTTCAATGCATGCTTATTGACGATAATGTAGAAACCTATAAGAGTAATGTGAAAGATCAATTTTTTGCTTTATATAGTGTTTATGAAACCAAATATGGCACCGTTCCTCACTCTGGCCCTTCCCAACCATCCAAAAACGTAAGTAAAAAGGCCAAGCATTTATTTTCACAAGCTACTAACTTGATTTCAAGGTTTTCAGGTGATTCATCAATAAGGAGAACGCAAAGCGATGTCTCGGAGTTGCAAATGTAACTAAGTTACGACTTCACCAACGGCATGGACGACGATGAGATAAACAGCCTCGACCTCCTTGCATGGTGGAAACAACAAAGCTCGAAGCATCCAACTTTGGCGGCAATGGCACGAGACATTCTTGGTATCCAAGTCTCCTCTGTTGCCTCCGAATGAGCTTTCAACGCATCCGGGAGGGTTTTAGACGATAGAAGAACAAGTCTAAAACCCGAAAAACTTGAAATGTGCATGTGTTTCAAAGATTGGTTGGATGCTGAAAATCGCTCACAAGACCGTACTTACGACGACAACGACAACGATGAAAGAACCACCGCTTCCGACTGTTCGGGTTCGGCTAGTTCTCAATCTATTCAACTAGCCGATGACCTTGAAGGCGAAGACGAAGAAGAATAGATGAAGAATAGACAATTTTTGTATATTGCACGATTTTTATCATTATCAATATTATCATTGTACGATTTTTATCATTATCCAATTTTTGTTTAATATCCTTGTACGATTTTTATCATTATTATTATCATTGTACAATTTTTTCAAGTAATAATAATATGAAGTATGCATTATTCACATCCAAAGTCCAATTTGCCTTTATTTTCCCGTTAAGTTATAATTTGTAAATTAATATAACAAAAAAAAATTATAATAATTAATAATATAAAAATAAATATAATAAATTGTAAACATTAAACTATAAAGTAATAGTATAAACTAAATATAAATATTAAATATAATAAATAATAAAACATAAATATTAAACTTAATTTATTTTAGAAAAATAATAGTATAAATTATAAAGTATAAACATTAAAAAAAATAAAAAAAAATAAAAACAAAGAAGCAAAGCAAGGCAGCAGCACGGTGGTGGCACGCAGGCCAGCCCGGCACGTGGGCCGTGCCATGTCGTGGGCTGGCGTGCGATTTTGGGTGGCACGGCACGGCCCGGCACGCCGGAGACCGTGGCCCGCCAGGCACGGCCCGCGGCGGCCCGGCACGAAACGTTACCCACCTTTAACCCACTGCATGAAGGGATGTCTAATCTATACCTTGGTTACCACTGAAGCAGGATGACATTATCTTACACTAGGTCATGTTTAAAATATATACAATATCTAACTGGAGGCTTTTACATAGTAGAATTAATTTATTTTTTTAAAATTTCCGGGGGTCACACATGTCCCCCTTGGTTACAACATAGGTCCGCCACTGAATACGAATACATTTATCATAAACCTGATCAACTATCTAATACAACAAAATACAAGACTCTCCTGGACAGAAAAAGAAATCTTGGATCACATTAAAATGTGGGTGTTGTATAAACAAACATCAGCTGGCAACAAATTTTACTACAAAATTCATACTTTACAATTTACACCTTGTTTGGATGGAAGGAAATGGAGGTAAAAGAAGGGAAGAGAAACTGAGGAATTGATTATCTTTCATTTGGATAACAAATGAGGAAGGAAGGGAATTGGAGGGGAGAGAAATGGAGGGATTAAATTGTAAGAATTTGATCTCTCCAACAATTGAGAGATTTGGAAGGAAAACTCATCTTTTTCCCTTCCCTTCCCTTTCTCTTCCCTCCCCTTATTTTCTTTCCCATTTCTTTATCTAAACACACTGTTAAAGATAGTTTTCAGTATCTGCTACACTATGTCAGGCACACCCATGTAAAATATTGTACGAAGTAGGGTTTTTTTTTTTTTTTTTTTGGACAAGGTAGTTATTAAGGAAATAAATAATGCTAAAAAGATAAGTAACAAATAATATAATCATTTAATCAAGAAACACTTATTGTAATATAACAAACTAATTAACGTGCATAAAAAACAAACCAATTAACTAACGTATCTCTACATAAAATCAATCTTACATAAATCACACCAACTAATTAAACTTACTCTAAACAAAATCAACTTAAACGTACATATACTTAATTAGTACCAAGGATAATCTTCCACTCTAATCCCAAACAATATGAAGGTACATTTAGGACCAAGAATGGCAAAATTAATACGGTTCTCCAATCGAAACAACACGACTTGAATGATATTCCCTAGCTTCAACACCTTGTCCGCTCTCAATTTGTTCCACTGGTGCGACAATGTGTATCTAAATGAACCCTTGTCGTAGTTCCATCGACTTAGACGCATATTGTATACAAACGACCCCATGATCACCTTGACGTCCTTGTTAACACCAACTTTCTTTTCAAGAAAAGCATCCTCGTCACGGCTCAGAAATACCGGAACAATTTGGCTCTTACGGAGTGACAATCGTGATTGTGTACCATTCAAATCAAATGCTGTAAGCTGCCTGAGAGAATATGGAAAATGTTTGTCGTGCCTTTCTCATTGATTAAACATTCAAATATATACATCAGTATACTAGGTTAAGCTAGCTAGGTAAAACTAACTAAAGATATACACAAAATAATATGCAAAAATATTATTTACAAAATTAGATTATTTGCATAATTTATCACACCCCCACAGGCGAAACGGGAGGTTTGCGAACGCTGAGACTGTCCCAAAATAATCATCAAATAAAACCTTAGGCAGACCTTTAGTGAAAATGTTTGCAATCTACACTAATATCGGGATGGCACATGTAGGACACGAACTTCACCTCATTGAACTTTCTCACGAACAAAGTGTATGTCCATCTCAATATGTTTAGGGCGCTGATGTTGTGCGGATTACTAGAGAAATAAATGGCACCAACATTGTTGCAATAAACTAGTGATGCTTTCAAAATAGGACATTTGAGCTCTAGCAACAGATTTCGAACCCAACGGGATTCGGAAACAACATTAGCAACCCCTATGTATTCAGCTTCAGTAATAGACTTAGACAAAGTGGGTTGTCGTTTCAAAGACCAAGAGATCAAATTATCACCAAGGAAGACACAGTACCCTGATGTAGACCAACGAGTGTCCGGACACCCGCCCCAATCGACATCTGTGTATGACAGTAGGGAAGAAACAAATGACCTATATAAGTGCAAACCAAAATCTGACATACCTTGAATATAGCGAAGTATGCATTTCAACGCATTCATGTGCTCTACTCGAGTAGCGTACATAAACAAACAGACTTGTTGCACTGCATATGTTATATCTAGTCTTGTGATAGTTAAATACTACAAAGCACACATAAACGACGGTAAGACGTCGGATCATCATATGTAGTACCAAAATGAGTACTCAATTTCCCTTTAGAGTCAACAGGAGTAGAAGGCGATTTGCAATTAGCCATGCCTGCTTTTTCAAGAATTTCCTGAGCATATTTATATTAAGATAGAAATAAACAATTCTTATCCCGGGATACAACAATACCCAAAAAATAGCTCAATTTACCCAAGTCTTGCATCGCAAATTCAAAGCTAAGTTGTGAAATCACTTGTCAGCGGAGACTCAGCGGAGACTCTGAAGGGGTAATAAGAACAATATCATCAACATAGAGAAGAATGTAAGCAGTATCATTACCATGGTGATATATAAACAGGAAGTTATTAAATTTGTTGTGAACAAAACCAATAGTAGCCACAATAACTCTTCGCCTTTGATTTTCAATAGTCCCTTTTTTTTCCTAGTTAAAGCTTCATTTTTATTAGTATTTCGGTTTGTGAATTTCTCGCGTTGTTGACATCAAAGAAGTTTTCCAACTTAAACACATACACAGCAAAAGAACACCTCGTGGAGGAAGAATGAAGTGTATGATATAACCCGAAAAGCCTTGCACCATACCAATTACTCTGGAGCCTGGATAATCATAAAAACCTTACCAAAACCTTATCGCGGACCGAGAATTGCCAGATGACCCGGAAACCTCGAGATGGACATTGAATGCAGGTTGAAGAGAACCGAAACCTGCAATGGCTCCTAAGCCAATTTGCGATGGAAGATGTGGAGAGATGAAACGACGACAGAAAATTAAATGCATCCTGCTGTTCAAAAAAAGACACTTGACACGATTCCACTCCTAAGGAACGAAAAGCATAGCTACTTCCTAGGAGTCCAGGAACAAAACCAAGAGAGTCGTGTGTTTGAACGACTCTGCCATGAGAAACCTTGCACCAAAATGCAGGTTCCTTTCCTGCTACTCTACTAATGGAGAGTCTAAGAAAATGGAGGACTTTACTTACCCCAAACATTAAAAATGGGGAGCCTCCTTTAAGATTTAGATTAATCTATGATGACTATCTCTGTCATCACCAACACCAATAATGGGATGATAGTAACTGAATGAATACCCAAATCATCCCACAACCTAAAAGCAACAGGAAAAGCAAACAAACCTCTCCCCGCAAAACCACCCTCCTCCTGTAGACACCAAATGCAGGCTAAACCTTTTGCCTGCACAAATAACACTACCCCCTAGAAAACAAAACACAGCATACCTCCCAAACTGCAGAAGGGAAACACACATTCAATCCTAAAGCTCCCCCTCACCCGAAGACTTCTAATTCCTAGGGAAACATAGTCCCATCCTGAAAAGGTAACCCAAAGGACCACAAACCCACAAGCCAGTCACTGCCTAAACTTACATCCCTTAAACACAAGGGGAAACACGACCAGCCCAACTCCAAGAACAACAACACTTCAAAAGCTTCCATAACTAGAACTATCCTATGAAACTCCAACTCATGAACACGAAGAGAAAGAGTATTATTGAAATACACAAACCCAAACAACAAAACAAACAAACTATGCAAAAAAAAAAAAAAAAAAAAAAAAAAAAAAAAAAAAAAGCTAGAGTAAAACATAACTGAAACTAAAACAAAACAACTGACTGAAGCAAAGAAAACCAACTAATACCCACAAATCCACCCGTGAGTCCTGGAGAAGCAAATAGAACCAGTAGGCTACCTCATCGGAAGAATCAAAACTGTACCCAACAACTAGTCATCAAGGCCAACGCAAGAAGACCGCCTCCCCTTAATCAAACCTATGATTAAGGGAGTAAACCCTAGTCTTAACTTCACCTTTACCGTCGGGAAACAAATAACCAAATTCCTTTCAACGGCGGCGTTAAGAATAGCCTTGGCTCCTCAATTCGTTGGAAAATTAGATTCTTAAACACTTGATGACACACCAAAACTTGAATGAATCCACAATGAACTCGAAAAACAAAACCAATTTGCAACTCTTCTGTTTCTTTGCTTGAAAACGCCAAAAATGAAAACAAAAATTAAACTAAAAGTAAAGAGTATCACTCGCCGGCGATGGCTAAGAGAGGGGCGCCGATCGCCGGCGAGTAGGGGTTGAGATAAGTGAGGAAGCGGTGGGGCGGTGGAAGATAAGAACAGGGGTTTCTAGAGAGAGAAGCGAAGTAAAAAAAAAAAATTGTTTTTGCTTTTGTGTGGTTATTTTGTGATTTTATTCAAATGTGTTGTATCTAATTGTGCGGGGGTGTTGTTTTGGAATTGTAGAAAGATTGCTCCGATTGCCTCTCATGCCATTTCCTTCTCTCCCTCCTCTGGATTTGGCCTTTGATTTACTGTGGCGCTACCGGAGAAAATCTTAACTTTGATGAGCTCGAATAATTTCCAGAAAGGTATGATAATGATATCCATAACATCCTTTTTTAAGTAACGATGGATAGCATTAACCAAAACTTCAAACTTTCTTGAATTACGCAAATCAAGGACTCATAAATAGCCCCAAGATCGCAGACCTCCTCATCCACTATGAACACAGCCGCCACTACAGCCTGCTCAGAACACCATGTGGATCATCCAAAGCCACCATCACAAGTATCGAAAATCAAAGTATTGGCCCTGACCACTGCTTCTACTGCAGCCTTTCTACTCTACATGCATCACCCTCGGCCACATGCTACCTCCAAGACTGTCAATTACTTCGTAATATAGATAGAAGAAAAGATTAGAGGGAAGTAAAACCTGTTATAAATTTATAGCCAAATTCGATTCACTAACAGATGCAAGATTTTCTTAAAAGAAAATGTTTAGACTTCATGTAAGATTTCCTCTTAAATAAAAAGATGTACAAAATGAGAGTGAGAGATCATTGACTAGCCGATAACCGATATACACAACAAAATCACATCATGTGTGCAGCTATTTTTCTGAAAGCGTATCACTTTGAATAACTAACCAATATACACAAGAAAACCAAAATAAATGTACCAAAACTGCATTATCTAAGAATCTGCATCTACTTTAGTTTGTCCTTGTACTAGTCGGCCATTTTGAAGTAGAGTGGCAGGAAAGGGAGCTTGACAATTGCTTATGTGTGATTTTAGCCGTGGTATATTAGGGTGAGCACTCTTACAGCGATGGCAACGCAACTCTTTTGATAGAAGGCCCTCATCTTGTATTGAGGGTTTCCCAAATTTCTCAACGTCTTCGATCACATCAACTACATCTCGGAAGAATTCAGTGTTAAAAGAGTTCCAATGCTTCTTGTTCTTCAAATGCTGCGAGTTGAAGTCCTGACTGATGACATGAAGATGCAATTGCCTCATTGATGGAACCTGGTGTGCACAACAGAATAATAGAACTAATCAGGATCTTATCTTTACCAATTTGATGTTCTTTTCTCATGAGAGTACCTGTAGAACAGTATGTAAAGCAACTACTCTAGAACAAGAATTGCAAAAAAAAAAGTTTTTTTTTCCCTTCTTTTTTGGGAAGCAATTCAGGGAGTCATGCTTGTATTAACATGATAGCTATTAGCTAGGCACAATTGGAGCTTGGGATAGGGTAGTAACCATTAAAATAAAATGTACCCCACCTTTTACACAAAAATAAATAAATAAATAAATAAATAAATAAAATAAAACCACAATGACCCAGAGGCCCATTTTCTCAGCTGCTTAATAATTTAGAGCTAGACTTAGTTCTCAATTACTTTCACACTTCAGTTAGCTCACAAGATGACAAGAGGCAAACTTTCGTATAGATAGGCACAGAATATCACATTGTGTATAATTTCAAGGACAACTCTAAGTATAGCAGCACTTTGTTTCAATTATCACAAACATCATGGAATAGGGACATAGAACATAAATGAGCAGAGGAGGCGACATACTGAATGAAATCCAAGGCGGAAAATAAGGGATTCATCCTCCTGCAAGAATCTCTCAGTCCATTTTATGCCCACTTGCTGCATTGTTCTCAATAACTGAAGGTGTTCTTGGCACACATCTCCAACGCCATCCAGACCATTCAAACGAGCAAGCACAAGAATGTGTCGTTTTGCCTGTAAAAAATTTGATGTCCATGAACAAATTGAAGGCAATGTGTACGAAAAACAGGGGCCAAGAAGAAATTATGAAGAGAGATTCTTACCTTTGGGTAAGCATCATTTAGTACAACAACATCAGTCGCCGTGTCTATAACAGTGCTCTTATGCTTCTCAGGATTCATTGCTATATTGTATAATGCCTGAGCCCAAGATGACCAAGCTTTTGATGCACTCTTTGACTTGTTCTGTTTCTCCTTCTCCTTCTCCTTCCCCAAAACATTGATACCAGATCCAACTTCATGCTCCAGTCCCTTGTTTTTCTTGCTTCTTTCTTCATCGTGTACAATCTCTCTCTTTATCCTTTGCTCAGAAGCATTCTCATTTCTCTGCCCTCTGTGGTCCTGCAGTTCAGACCTCTTAAGAATGGACGCAAAACCTTCAAAGAGTGATGAGTAAGCCTCACGAAGGATTTTACAGCCCTCATCATAGTCATTTTTCAGACAATTTGGTCTTTGGGGATTCATATTTGGTCCAACAACATGAATGACATGTGTCACTCCTTCCCTAATAAACAAAGGTGAATCAGCGGGGACAGAAATGACTACAGCCTTTCCTGGAGCAAGAGAATTGGCTCTTTTTTTGGTTGCAACCTCTAGACTTGGGCCTGCAGCACTAAATATGGCAGCGTTCACACCCCCACCTCCGGGCTTGAGTCGCCTGTAACATTAATGTTAAATGATTAAACACATGAAAATATTTATGTAGTCAGTGGCATTTGTAATGCAGACGAATGACAAGTAACTTGTTTAAAAAGGGCATGGAATTGGCTTAGACCCTGGATGAAGAGGACTAGAGGAGAGCTGGACAACTAATAAAACTTATAAGATGGTTACTCTCACAGTCTCATTCTTCTTCTCTGATGTCAGATAACTCACATGAAAGTTTAACATAAATAGGGCATGATCTCAACAAAATATGATAACTGATTAAGAATGTCAATATATCTATTGAAAAAAAAAAAAAACATGCAAGGAAATGATAAGAAAATACAAGGTGACCAAATTTACCAATGTATACTCATTTAATAATCACTATCACAGCATCCAGCCAAGAAACTCAATTAAAAAAAACAGTACGAAACTCTTTCCTTGAATATGAATAACACATATTGATACCAAGTGAACAACTAGATAAGTCCGAATCAACCAATTTGTGGGTGAGGCACAGCAAGTAACCCTCTGACTATATAAAAAGTCTCCTTTGCACAATAAAGAAAGTAGCTCTTACATATTATGAAGTTATCCCTCAATGAGTCACTTCTCAATAACATAGCAAGTCACCCCTCAAACAACATAACAAGTCAGACTGGTCTCATATATGTTACTGTACTACATAGGTAATCCATCTCACATGATGACATGAACATTTAAAACCAAAATACAATCTCAGTCATCTTCAGAAGCAAGTATAAAATAGCAATATGAATGTCAACCAAAATAGTCAAGCCATCAATTATTGTCCAAACTAATATTAATCACTGCTTGTGTCTATTATGAACAATCCATCTCACATCCATGGATTTCAAAAATATAAGAACAAGTAACCAGACAAGCAATTGGATACAGATTACAGAGTACAGAGTCTTTTGACTTTTTCAGCCATAGCAAATTGCATCAAGCTAGCTACAAACTACCTTGGAAAATCCTATTTTAGGGAAATGAATTGGGGACAAAGAGAGAATGTTTTTGGACCACAAAGGATGGGATATCTTACAAAAATGCTGTAGTCACATGGAGATGGAGCAAGACTCAAAATATCTAGAAAAAATCAAGTTGAAATACAAGAGCAATCTTTAAAATCAAAATAAATGGAACTTCCTTCCTTATTGGACAGTCAGCATACAAGGCTCCAGGCAAACCCAGGTCAACATGAGGGCATCATATATATCCAGCCTGACTCCAACGTTTGTACAGATAGAATTCCCACGACTTGAACTCCTAACCTCCATGAGATTATCATAAGTCCTAACCTAAAAGCTGCCGAAATGGTCATCCTAAGTAATTAATACATTGACAAGCTAGAGAAGTATGCCTATCCTAATATCATTGGTAATGCTAGAGAAGTAAAGCTTGACTGTATGTAGCAGCAGCAAGATGCAAGCATGCACAAAGACAAATCTTGCTCAAGCTTTACATTTTAGAGATACAAACCCAAAGTAAGCAGTATTGTAAAGGTATAAATAGGAACACCATATATCTCACTATACACATAGCATAATTCAAACAGCCTTTAAATTCCATACCCTTGAACCCTGCAGATTGCAGAGCACTTGCATGAAAATAGTGTGTTTGAACGTTAATATTACCCCAAATAACTTATTTTTAGAACTTATCAGGAATTATGTTTCCAGAGATGGCATCTTCAACAATATGACAGTTTAGTCAACATGAAACTCACAAATGGTGAACAACTAAGAAAATGGATGCTTACCAATTAGCAGCATTGGCAATGACATTGCAGCGTAAGCCTCCTTTAGAATACAGACAAGTAACATCTCCCACAAATGTGGAGAATTTTTCAGGATTGATGTTTCTTTGTACAGCTTTAGACTTGACCAAAGACAAAATCTTTGATTTATGAGTCAAATCCACCAAAACAAGTCTAGCATTCTTCAGCTTACTCGAATATTCTTCTACTGTTTCAAGAATAATATCGGAGGCCTTATCGTGATCAAACTGAAAGTCCGCGGTTGAAATTGAAGGGAAAGCCAAGGTGACAGATATGTCCAAGGAAGAAGAATCCTCCTTGGAGTTCGTCAAAGCCGCAGCATCAGAAACAGACTCCAGTACCAAATGATGTTTGTGCTCCTCATTACTGGCCCCTTCAAAGGCATCAGGTTTGGATCCTTCACTACAGATTTGTGATTCTTTCACTGATTTACTAGAGAAAGAGCTCTGGGTCATACTTGAACCAGAACCCAAACTAGGAGGGTCAGCTTTTTTCAAAAACTTCATTATACCAACCTGGACCTTAGCATCTGGGGTCTTCTGACCAAAGCAGCCTGAAGGGAGAGCATCTTCTGCACTAAGTCTTCTATAGGTTATAATAGTATCTTCTACCTCACTCTCACTGTGGCAGATGGTGATCCGAGAAAATCCTTCACTCAGCTGTGGCAATTCCTTCTTTTGAAGCATTCTATTCACAACTGCAGCAGCTCTTCCACCCTGCAAATTACCTTCATGCCCTGTACGTTTAACAAACCGTGAGATACAGAGCTTAGCAGGCAAATCAAGCACCACAGCATGCACATCTACTTCAGAACTGCCAAGCTTCACAAATTCAGCACGCTGTTCTCTGTCCAGGTTGCATCTGTCAATGAATACACTTTTTTTGTCTTTCAGAGCAACAACTGCAGTGCTTATACATTGAGCTTTGGTTCCAGCTTTGCCCTTATTAATATTGTCCTGCAAATGAGATCAACCAAACAGCAGAACTTCCTATTCAGAAGTCAGTCACAGCCAAAGCAATGTCCTTCCAACCTAAAAAATAAGGTATAATAACTTCTTGGTAAGTTGGCCTACTACGTTCACATAAATTCTGATATGGGCTAGTAAGTTAAATCATAACCTTATATAGTCATATAAGTTTCAAATTGGGTCCGATAGGTTCGTGCTTTTAAAGGGAAAAAGAGCATATTCTAAGATATAGAGGCTTTAGTCACTTTACAGTATACATAAGTGGAGGTCATTGCAAATTAATACAAACTACGAAGTATCAACTATCATCTCATACAGAATTTTAATTCAATAATAAAAAGTCTATGAATACATGATATATTTACTATGTTTAATTACTGATGCTCTTGAAACATAAGGTGCCAGAATCCATCATTACAACCTACACTTTAATTATATGGACGATACTCAACAGCAAACACACGGGTAGAAGGTTATTTAGCAAACTCATAGTAACATACTACACTATTGTATACCACTTAACCAAGTATAGCAGCATATTCTCATGAAGGCTCAAAACTCCCTCAGAAATCACTAATTGATCCATATTGTAGAACTAACAAATCATATAATTAACATTTCAATATCATTAAGGATAATAGTTTCACGTCTGTCAATACACATCTTTTATAACATCAAGCTGTCAAAGGAGTATGTGCGCGTAGTGTAAAATTTCAACCGTTGCAATCAAAAATATATTCAAAACTCCAATAACCCTTGAAAGTATTTAACCAACATAAGATTAACCAAAAAATTCTTGCAATTTCTAGTTTCAATTAGAGAATAAATAGGAGAAAAAAACCTGGCAGATTCGAGCCCAGCGGCGAGAAGAGGCGCCCATGACAAGGTCACAGAAGGTGGACTTGCCGCTGCCTGGTGCACCCACCATTATTACTACCAAAACCTTTCCATTTTCTGCTTCAATTATTCACCCATTAAAACCCCATTTCAGTTTCACCCACAAAATTGAAGGATTGAATGTCAGTGCAAAAATCAGCAAAATTATTCATTGGTAGCGTAATTGTATAAGTTAATTATATAAATAAATTTTCGTCAAAATAATTCGAATAAAGGAAGACAAATATTGGGAATTACCTTTACTTGGATTAGGGTTGAAATTATCAACTTCCATTTCTTTCTCCATTGTTGTAAGTTGTAACTCAGAACACTTTTAACTTTTTTAATGGAGACATCGATAAATGTTCTTCAGTTTTTTTTTTGCCTTTAGATTTTTTTTTTTCTTTTCTATTTTATATTTGGGAAATTGTTCCGTATATCCCTTAGGTTTTGGAAAAATGCGTATCCTAAAAACTTTCAAATGCATCGTGTATCCTTGTGCAATTTTTATCTTACTCCCGCAGGACTGTGAGCATGATACTCCGAGCTCAAAACGATGTCGTTTTTAGCTGGGGCAATAGGTTTATAGTCAGCCTCTTCCTTTAGTATCCCCTCCTTCTTTCCGATGTTCTCTCTTTTCTTCTTGATATACTTTTTTTTTTAAGGGTTCTTCTTGATATACTTTGTTTCCCTCTATTTTCTTTCAATCTCTATGAATTTAATCCTCTTTTTATCAAATTGCAATTGTTCTGATTTTTCTCTAAATCCAATCAATCACTCTTTTTCTCATCTTTTTTCGTCAATTACTTTTCTAAATTAAAGCTGGTTTTTGCAATTTATTGGGTATCGAGGCCGATGATGCTCGATTTTGCGCAATTGCAAATTTGATGATTATTTTTGAAAAGTAACATATAGTTTAATCTATAACATGTGTTTTTTACAATTAATTTGCAAGTTCTAAAAGTAACATGCTTCTATTTATAAAATAACATAATGTTTTATAAGAATCGGAATAATATTCCAAGTTATAAAAATAACATGCTTCTATTTATAAAAGAACATTTATTAGTTCTAAATTAATATAATCAGAAATAACATTTATCAGTTCTAAAATAATATTTTAGTTATAAAAATAGTATGTTTCTCTTTGTAAAATAACATTAATTATTTTTAAAATCATAAAATCTGAAATAACATTGAGTAGTTCTAAAATAATATGTTCAATAACAGTAGATAACATGTTTAGTAACTAAAATAATATGCTTCTATTTACGTTTTTATGTTATTTCGTTTTGTTAATTTGTTATTTTATAAAATAAATTCTAGCGCGCTTTTTTAAGTTGGGTTTCTAACACATTTATTAGATTGGGCCTAGAGTAAAATACTAAGTATTCCACGAATACCTAATACTAACTCCCTGAGTTTGTACAAATATGCACTAAAAACCCTGATAATCTAACAAATGCACATATCATTGGCTTATCAAAGTAAAATCATGTCCATACTCCCTTTTAGTATTTTATATTTATATAGAAAACGCCTAAAAGCATAAATTACATCTAAATTATTTGAAATCCATCTATCATTCTAAATCCTAAACTTTTGGGTGTTAGTGTTTACTTGATTTATTAATTAAGTAAATACTAACAAAAAGATTTATTAATTAAGTTTACTTGATACTTAAATGTTTTAGCATTACGTACACTATCATTACATTGTAATAATTTAATATATTTTGATGCTTAGGGGGTCTTATTTTAACAAAATTAACATTTGTTATAAATCTAGGGGTATTTGGTGCTTTTTTTTTATTACAAATTTCAAGGGTAAACAGTGCATTTGAAAGATTTTAGGGGGCGTTTGGTTCGCAAAATATAGGTATGAGGTATGGGTTTAGATTGACTAAAACCCATACCATATGTTTGGTTGTCAAAAGTATGAATTTTAAACCCATAACTCAAACCCATGAGGTATGGGGTTTAGAAACCTTGGGGGGTGAGTTTGGCTCATTCCATTCCCTTAGGTATCAAATAAAAGGAGGGAATAGTGAGAGATTCCATTCCAGAATTGAATAAAACACATGATATTAAGTATCAAGTTCCAACCCTATTCCTAATTCCAAACCCATACCACTCTGCGAACCAAAAGCCCCCTTAGGGATATACAGAACAATTTCCCTTTCTGTTTTTATTGTTTCTAATCTTGTTGTCATAACAGTATATAATAAATAATCTAAATGCAAAAATTTATTATTAATATAAAATTAATAAAAGACTAAAATACCCATTCATAACTTTTAAATCCCGATATTCTACTATACCTCACATACCAGTATTTATACTATTCACTTTCCCCCAAAATCAACCCAACAATTCTCTACATCTTCCTCTCCTATTCCCATGAAGTTCTCTTAATGTTCAAGGAAAACTATTCGAAAAATTGTTTAATGATAAGAAATTTATAAAGCAAGTACATAAAAATAATATCTTAAACTAAATTATTTAAGCTCTAAAAATGAAATTCTGGAAATTAATTCTGGTACTCTGGTAGCTATTGTCAGGCCCCAAAATATGAAATGATGGTACCTTTGTATTAAGCCTCGGAAATCTAATTAGGTACCTTGTATTAGGCCCTAAAATCTGATATGATACCTTGTATTAGGCCCGGAAATCTGATCCGATACCTTATATTAGGCCCTAAAAATTTGATCTGGTACCTTGTATTAGGCCCTAAAAATCTGATCCGGTACATAGTATTAGGCCCGGAAATATGACTCGGTACCTTGTATTAGGCCTCGGAAATATGACCTGGTATACCATATTAGCTCCTGGAAAAGTATCATGGTACCCTTATGAACACCCAATAATAAGCGTCATCAGCAATTGTCGTCAACCAATTTTTTATACAACCATTCATGGTGATTTTAATGGAAGTCAGGTAAGTGTCCCGTATAAGTTGGAAATTTGATTTGTTCGATTGTTCATCCATAAATGTTTTTTTACAGAAACAAAACTATAGCAATAATTTACCTACCTTAACAAAATCGCCATACTGCTATTCATCATTGTCCATAAATCCGTATAAATTTATACATCAAATAGGATAAAAGGTTATATATATTGATTATCTTTGTTGAGAGTGAGGGATAGCTCAAGTAGTTAGAGCTCCCCTCCCGGTTTCAAGAGATCTTGGGATCGATTCTCATCACTTGCCCTCGTGACTCTCTAACACAAAAAAAACCAAAAAAAAAAAACTCTCTTAGGAGGTAAGAAAGAGGGAGGATAATGATGAGTCTTTCTTTTTTTTGTAAAGGTATTTTCCATCATTGGAACAATTGTTTTCTTCCCTTTCATGAACCAAACAGTAAAATATGATAATAAATGGGTAAATCATTTTCCATAAAAACATTTTACATCAAACCAAACTAGACTTATAACACTATACATTCATCAATTGTACTTATCGTACACAAGATACAAACAATCATCCAAAATGGGAAAATAAGTATGTTAAAAAAAAATTCTTTGAGGTTTTAGCTGGGCTAACCATGCATGCAGATATAAGGGTGCGGATGTTAATTGATACATCTCAACCACTTATTCCAGGGTGTTATGTACCGGTGGAAGGAGATCGTGTATTTTGGGTTTTCTTCAGGTATGAAGGTGTCTTTAAATATTGTAAATCTTGTGGTTATGTTGGTCATAGCAGGGAGCGCTAAAAGGTGAAGAAGGATGTGGCGACCCGTCGTCTTCGGTGTAGACTTGCTGCACTAGAAAGGCGGGGAATGAGGGTGCTTTATGGGCCTGGGCAGCAGGCTTACTACACCAACTATGTCAACCTTATTCGGCCAACCGAACCTGAAGATATTCCATTTATGGATAGGAATGGAAGAGGCGTCTCGAATCTCTCTGGTGATAGCTCGGATAGCGATGGTACGAAAAGGTATTACTATGCTTCTGATGGTAGCTCTAAATCTGATGTTATTGAGAATGGACATGTAGGGAATATATCCAATATGGTATGGCAAACAGGTACGAGATTTGGGCTGGGAAACGACCCTTATGCTCGGTACTACCCATCTCATCAACCATCTGAAAATGCTTCTCACCCACGAAATCATAACACAAGCTTGAGGATTAATTCTAGTCCACGAGAAGTAAGAAGCCCAGATCAAGATCTGAACTTACACTTGGGCCAAGCATCCAATGGAAGGTCAAGATAGAGGAAAAGCTCCAATTGAGCCTCTATCTCCTCTAATTCGCTGCAGCTCCCCACACTTGGCTACAAATCTGGTCTTTGACTCCATCAACTTTCGAGGTGGGCGAGTCTTCGGCTAATCCAACAATTTTACAAATATGAAGGGTTCAGGCCGCTTCGTTTCCTTCTCTTACTATTGTGGCCCCGCCACCTCTGGTCTTACCGATGTCGTGCCCTCGTCTCCTTGAGCCGAGGCCGAACCCATTGTTTTGCCTGAAAATAGTTAGGACTATAATCGTGATTTTCAAATTACTACAGTTTCGGGGTTTTTTTGGATGTCCCGCGGGAGAGTTACGTCACTAAGTCTGGATCCTCGCCGGCTGTACCTGCAAACAAACGAAAGCTCCGATTGTTCGAAGTTCCGCCTCCGACGATCAAGTTAGTACGTGTACGGAGTAAAAAGCGGAAAGTAAAAATATCTTTTCGGGTCCCGAGATCAGGTGTTTTCTCTGTTGTAAGAGTAATAAATGATGTAATAATTGAATATGTCCCCAAATTGGCCTAAATTCCCCTATTTATAGGGTCATTAGTAATTGTGCCCTTGCCTAGGTCACTCTGACCTAGGGTTTGGAGGGCTTCGCCGTTTTGCAGCTTTCTTAGGAAATGGGCCTTGAAGGCCGCCATTCCTGTTGGGATATCTGCCTGCCACGTGTCATACCGTGGTAGGTCCACTTTGGACTCTTCATAGGGTGACATGTGTTACGCTCTTATTGGTCCACGTGGCTGGGGTAAAAATACCCAAATCATTTGCCCCTCATAGGGGTGATGTGGCGCGCCATGTGGCGCCTGTGACAAGTGTCACTCATGCATTGGTGACAATTTTTACTGTTCATCTTCTAGAGTAAATTTTGGGGTTTTCTCCCTAAATTTTACCTCTCTATAAATAGTCGTTTCCCCCCCCCCCCTCATTTTCGCACGTTTACGAAAAAAGTCTTTGAGAGGATTTGACTTTCTAAGAGAAAAACTCCTACCGCCTGTATTTTATCCGTCTGCATCGCAACCGTCTCCAACTTCAACATCACCTTCATGTTATAGGTAACCGTCTTTTTCTTTCTCTTTTCTTTTTATTTTCAGCCTGTGCTTGTTATATCTTTGCTTTTGAAAATGGTTTCACAAACACGCACGGCACGGCCTATGGTAGCTATCAGCCGGTCATCAGGGACGACTGAGTCTAGAACTAGGAGTGACGGCTGCCCCGTTTTGGACTCCCCCTTGCGAACATCTCAGAATTCGACCGTCTCTGTGTCTGTGCAGAACACTATGGCCAAAACGAAAAGAACGGCCAAGGAACAAAATGAGGACGACTCCTTCAGGGCGTTTGTTAGTGAGGTCTTTGACCATCATCCGCCAAGTTCCACAAGCACCCCCGGAGACTCTATTTTAAGAGTGACAGGGGAGGAGTCCAAGAGCAGTACTTCTGGCTCTATTCGTCAATTGTCCCATGCGGACGCTAGTCCAGACAACTCTGAAGGAGGATCAGGGCCATCTTCTTCAAATAGAGTCTGAGAGCTCTAAAGCAGAGTCCTCGCCGCTTGAAGAGGCGAGAGTGTCCCTCTCTGTAGAGAGAGGTGAG